ATGAGCCAAAAGAACCAAGGGGAAACGCTCGGATACGCTGTGTTTGTTGTCCACTACTTTCAAGTAAGACAGAAGTCCATTTAAATTTCAGTTATTGTTATTCCATTTTCATTCCATTTGAAACATAATTCGGCACTAGTAGTGGAAAAGAAGTGGAATTACAGTTTAAATAGATTAACAGGGAATGTGTGGTTGGGCACTTACACTGTGTGTGTCACAACTTCCTACCATAGGAGAATTTGGTTCCTAAATGTCTTGATCATTTTGATCCCTTGTGCAGGAACACCACTAGCACTACACGTCTTCTGCTTGCTTTGACATAAAAGCTTAAAAAGATCAAAAAGCTCACCACCTTGGAGATATTTCTAGTGCGTTGGAGATAGTACTACTTTATCCATCATTTTTAGGATAACCAAACTCTATTTTGGCATGCATTTTTCCGTTTGTACTCACAAAGACGCCACGGTAGGCCGAGACGCTTGGAAAGTCATAGCATGCACTGGGCAGGCTGTGACATCACTGTTTCCACCTTCCTCATCCTGAAACCATTGAACCACAGTATCCAACCTCCATTACCCTAAACTCCTCCAAAGTGCTTCAGCAGCACAGCGTTCTTCCGTTTTCCCTACAGATGCAAAAGTCATATAGACGATACAACGCTTTCTCTAGTGCTGCTTTCCTGTTGCATCATCTCCACGAGGAAACTCCTGCAGTAGCGCTGTAGATGTAAGATGGGGGATTTCCACCATGGCTACGTCTGTAACACTAATGTAGGATAGTTACAGGCTAAGGGAACTTGAGTTTCTTCCCATCCACCTCTGATTTTTACACCAGGTTGTCAGCTCAAAGACATTAGGTGGGAAGCAGAGCTTAAGTACTAGATATTATGTGCTAGATATTATAATAAGTCTCTGGTATGTGCATAAATACTTGCAACCATAAATATTCATGACTGGTAGGTGGACCTCAAGGTCAGCGTAGCATGTGGGAAAATAGCACTATCCATTTAAATCAAAAATGCAGAGATGCTTCAATATCCATTGGTGACTTTTTGTCACGTACACCAAGATTGCAATTCCACGAGGTTAAATACAGTTTGTAATGATTTCTGTAGTATCTGAATCAGGAGTTTTTGAACCATTGCATTCACTGATGTACTACGGGCGGCATGAAAAACAGACTGCGGTGGCACATCGCTAAAATTCAGCATGAAGCCAATTTTCATCACTTCTCCTGTATTATTATAGCCACTTAAGTTCCTGCCACAGTAATAGCTTTTTGGATATGCAAGTTAGAATCTGCAGTCAGATCCAACGCCCCCTGCCGAGGCCTGACTCAACCCACTGTTTGTGATGCTTCACCAACAACTGGAGTTAAAGAGGTCTTTAGCAATACACAGAAAAATGCATGAACAGGCAGTAAACAACTTATAATTTAATAACTTGCTCCAGAATACAGCCCGACTGACGTCGCTACCAATATTCAAATATGAAAACCAATAAAATAAATCTGATATATAATGTGATCCAAGCACCACCACTACAGCCTAACAAATTACCCTTCTACTCTTTTCACAAAAATAGGTGTTTCTGCTAAGCCGCTACATTGGATTGCATTAGATTGTACATATAAAGCTTATAAACTAATGCCCTAATCAAAACTAAATAAAATACAATGACTACCTTATGACATAAAGCTCCAATATTAGTTTGGAGGTACAATGCTCCAGCAACAGCTGTAACAATTCAATTACCATTATTAGACCAACAGTGGTGATTGATCAGTAAGAATTACAGGACAAAATAAATAGAACAAAAAACAAGTGACATTTAATTTTAGTGATGAAATGATTTGACCGTGGAAAGCTTTACTTGGCCCAGCTGTGGAACATTAGCTAATGCGTACTGGTGCTTGGCTCAGGATGCTATAATGCAGTCTGTTGTACTTGAAAGCTGCATCCAAAAATGCCTCACTTTCCCAAAATGCACCAGGATGAATGCTACACGCTGTTGCCATTATGCAATTATGTCTGGCTTTGATTTGCTGCTGCAGTCTTAAGTCATCTATGGCTTCATTGTCAGTGCTAGTTTAGTTTGTTTGGGCTGTCATTTTTGACATTTTGTTGTTGCGTCTTATTGTTCCTGATGTTTGTGGTAACTGAGTCCATTGTTTGATTCAGTTGTGGTTTTATCTGGCATCTTGATTTTATAGCAGCAGGAGATTTGTGGTGAGATGTTTGTCCACATCCCCTGAGTACTGTTTACTTTGTATTTCATCTATGTTTTTCATTATTTCTATCACAAAGCCAGTTTTTCTCTTCAGTGACTTTTGTAGTCACTAGAACTAATGCCAGTGTTTTGTAATTATTTCAGCTCTGATGAATGAATTAGGCTGAATTAACTGAAGACTGCAGTACTGACCAAGAACACTAGATTAAACTGCATTATAGAATCAAATTCCAAGGTGAGAACATTCTGCTCACACTTTCGTCTACAAGTATGAATGTGAGTGTGTGTATAATGAATCCTGCTTCATAATGAATAATAATGTGCAACCTGACTGATCCCAGCAGGGACTTTGTCTCAGCTTTGCTGCACCACAGGAAGGTCAGAGCAAAGGGTCAGCTATTAAACATCATGCAGGAACTGCTGTGAAGCTGGTGTCTTGCTCAAGAACACTTCAGTAGGGTAGATTTGGA